GCATAAGAATTCAATCTTAATATCTAAATGCAATTAAGCAAAATCAATTCTGATGAAAATACTTTTATTTTTAACATTTTATCATTCAAATCCTTACTTTTAATTGAATTAGTAGATTAGAATTTCAGATGAAAAGCATCTTCATAAATACAAGAGTGCATTCATTATTTTCATGAATGGAATTTTCATGTCTGCTAGACAGGTGTTAATTTTCTTTTTATACACACACACTGTTCTCTGGAAAGGGTAATTAATGAATTAAGTACTTAGGATAAAGTATGAATAATTATTCATTAATTAGTTCCATTAAAAGTTCAAGGCCATATTCACAATAATGTTAACCCATGTAAGATCAATTTTCTACAAATAATTGAAATATGCCCCAACACATTATATAATTTTTGTAATAATAAGGATTATTGTGTATTTAGGCAGCAATCCTTCATTTATACATCTTTCATTAAAGATGATAGACAAGGCACTGCAATTAAGCTTTTTATTTAATTTTTCTTGTGTTCAAACAAATGTTTTGTAATTCTGAGCACTTTCAGCTATACTTTTAGCCATTATCAAGGATTATTTTATAATACAAGCATAATAACCTCATGTACATGTAAAAAAAAGATTAAAAATAATGGAAGCCTTAATAATAAAAAGAAAAAACCCAACACTCAAGAATATTAACTGCAAACATGGCCACAATGTATTGTGTTCAGAAAATAAAACAACCCTATAACTCTATTAAACATATATATATATATATATATATATATATATATATATATGATTAATACAAATAAAATTTGTCACTTAGCTGATTGATGCTATATTCAATACCTCAACTCCAGTTTTGTAGACAAACATTTTGTAATCATTTTGTCTACTTGTCAGGAGGTTTCAGCAATGAAATGGGGGATATGATCCCACTGTGCAGCACCTTTGGAAAGTGCTTGAAAACCATATCAAAAGGTTGACCTAATTGCATGTGTGTAAAAATGGGTAGATGGAACTGTTGAGAAACCATTGATGGTTATGCTAGCACTAAGTTGTAAGTCATCATGACTGAGGGTTTGAGTATACTCACACTGTTCAAACTACTGATCATGATAGATGATGAGCTCTCTTCCAGCAACTGTAACTAAGGTCTGCTCTGCATAGTTGCAGTATAAACCACAGGTTGGCTCTGTGGGTATTGAAAAAACACAAATGTACCCAAGCATGAGCATATATATATATATATATAAGGTGCGATGGATAAACTGTCATCTAAATTATGCAAAATGAAAATAACATTTCATTTTATCAGATATATTTACTGAAATTACATGAAAATATCTTGAAATACTAAAAAGTAAATTTATTCATTGAAATTGCCATTGGCATCAACCACAGCCTCCAGATGACTTTGGAATCTCTTGCAACTCTTTTGGATGGTCTTCTTGTTTAAGTTGGTGAATGCTGCCATAATCCTTTGGTGTGGCAAGCAGTTTTATTGGTCTCTCACTCAACTCTGCCCCACATATAATAATCAAGAGGGTTGCAGTCTGGGGAAGCCAGATGTAAGGGGTGATGTGCTTGCAGTAATTGTCTGACAGCCATGACTGGGTTCTCCTGCTTGTGTGGCATGGTGCAGAGTCCTGTTGCCAGACATAGGGTCTTCCATCATCTACCCTCTTGAACTAGGGCAACACTACCTCTTCAAGGCACTTGTTGAGTCTGAGGCCCTCACCAACAAATTCAGAAGTTCTTTTCTTAGAAGATTAGAGTCAGTTTTCCAAGCTGCTGTACATTTGTAATAATCATTACACTCATCCAACTCTTTCTAAATCCTCTGCATTGTCCTCAGGTGACTCTGAAATATTCATATTGGAGCTTCTGGCATGAATGCCAAGCAGTACAGCATGCAGTTTCCAAATTTTATCTCGGAGTGAATTGCATCATGGTGCTCTTTTTTTCACAGACAGTGCCCAACTGACTCCATTGTAATGTGCAGTTGACAAGATTAAAAACAAACATGTACATGAAATAAAAAATATAAAATGGTGACAACTTACACATTGCACCCTGTGTATGCCTGAAGATTGCGAAACCATGAAACCCAGGGTTACAAACTATTATCCATGCAACCACATATATTAGTTCCATCATGGATATTGAGCACTTTCCACTAACTACTGCATATATATATATATATATATATATATATATGCATGCATGTGTGTGTAAACAAACTCTTTCTGGTCTTGAGTCCTCAGATCAGATATGGTAATTTGATTCATTGCCCCTCCTATCCTGAAAAATCCCAGCACATTTTCCTTACACACAGTTTTGTCTTTCATTCCAAGATGAAGAAACCAAAATTAAGATACATCACACTGGCGAAATGTGTCATTTCTACTTTCTCTCATCATCTCCATTTTTGTTTCAGATCCTATCAAATATCCTACAAACACACATGCAAATATATGCATACTTCAATGAGGATGACGAACAAGGAATATTTTGGAAGTTTTTTTATTTTTTTTATTATCCATGAATATTTTCTTTTATGAGGATAAAGAGCATGTAGAAACTGTCCAGAGTGATTATTGCCCTAATGACTTCTGGCTAATCCCTTTACCAATTTCAAAGTGGGTGGGAAGAGTAATCTTTGTTGTTAGCATATTTTGTTTTGATTCCAATATTGTGTGCCGTGAAAATAGAAGTAACTATTCTTAGTAGACTTTACCAAATATTCAAAACACAGCCAAGATGTCTTGCTTTTTTTTAAAAACAATTGATATTCAACTAAACCTGTATTTAAAAAGGGTTGCTGCCCAAATCTTCAATCCACAAATATATATATATATATATATATATATATATATATATATATATATACACACACACAAGTATAGGATTGGTGTATACGGAATAAATTCCAATAACCAAAAATACTATTCTTATAAGAGTGCTCAATACAGAATAGAGCAAATATAATTTATTCGTAAATTATAACATAAACATGTTATAAAATCACTACAAAAATAGCCATTTTGTTTCAACACTTCTAGTGTCTTATCAAATGATGGTGTTGATTGTAAAATAAAGAGTTTTAAAAGGTTCAAATCAACCAAACACCCCTTAATAGGGGAAACGCTGTTACATAAGCTACAATGACCAATCAAAATACAAGTATATGAAAATTCAAAAAACTCAACAACAAAACCTTGATTATAATTATTAATGCCCTAATGTTATGGTTAGACTAAAATAGAAATCATTCTAACTAATTAATATTAAATTTTACTATAAAATTGAAAAATAAAAATTACCAATTTTAAATTTAACCTGTATTAAGTTTAAATATAAAATTATTTAAAGAAGAAACTGAGGAAAAATACATATATTTTATTATTTATTTTGTTTAATTGAAAGGCCATAATATCAGTTAGAAACTTTAAATAATTTTATATTTTAAACTTAATACAGTTTAAATTTAAAATTTAAAATTGGTAATTTTAATTTTCAATTTTATAATAAAATTTAATATTAATTAGTTAGAATGATTTCTATTTTAGTTTAACCTTAACATAAATCATTAATAATTATAACCAAATTTTGTCAAGTAACAGCGTTTCCCTTATTGAGGGGTGTTTGGTCGATTTGAATCATTTTCATCATTATTATTGTTGTAATTACTTTGTTTTCGGTTTTTGTGTGCGCGCATATGTGTGTGTGTGCGCACATGTGAGGGCAAGAGAGTTTTTTTTTTTTGACTGGGTTCTCCTGCTTGTGTGGCATGGTGCAAAGTCCTAATGCCAGACAAAGGGTCTTCCAGAAGCTACCCTCTTGACCCAGGACAACACTACCTCCTCAAGGCACTTGATATGGCCCTTTGGGTCGAGTCTGAGGCCCTCACCAATAAATTCAGGAGTTCTTTTCTCATCAGAATGAATTGCGTCATGGTGCTCTTTTTCTCACAGATGGTGCTTAACTGACCCCCACTATACTGTGACAATTTATCCCATCCTATTCTATATATATATATATATATATATATATATATATATATATATATATATATATAATGGATTTTGAAACCTGTAATATTTTTAGAGTTATAAAATATTGTTTACATAATAATTGTCATCAGTGAAAAGCAAAAAAAGAAAGTCAAAAGAGAACAAACATTTGTTTTCCATGAATTATTTTTGTGACAAATGAATAACAATAACAATTTTCTAAAGACAAAGAAATAAAAATCACAATGGACAATTTTGTTACAAAGTTTTGCTATTGCTTTTTCCTGGATTTCAACATTAATCCCTTCCTCACTGACACACTAGCAAAGCTTAATAAATTGGTATTGACTGGATAAGGGTGACCAATTTATTTCTGATTTATCTTGAAACTTCTTATTTAAAAGTTATTGTTTTTATAAGTTGGGTGTATAGTTCTACTCTAAAAAAAAAAAAAAAAAAAAAAAAAACACACACACACACTACACAATCTTCACTTTCATTATGCTTAAATCATCTACTTTAATGAATATTCAATCTGAGAAAAATTTTGACATGAAAGACCATCTTAGATAATTATCAATATTGTATTGACTAATTATTGATAGCATTAAACTTAACACAAGCAAGTTTAATGCTATCTCAAAGATAAATAAAGCTAACCAAAAGCAAAACAAAAAATTCTATAAATAATATGAACATAGGAAATGTAATCTTATGACCTCCTGTCAAATGCTTTAAACATTGTTTCAATGCAGTCAGTATTTGGGTTTGTTTTGTTTTTTAAAAAGAAACAGATTCTGTTAATTTAAAAAGAAATTACTGTACACATACTCAGTCCATAGTATTTATATAATTAGAAAAAGAAAAAATATTTTAATTTAGATTTGAAATTAGTTTACAATCCAAATTATCTAAAAAAAAAAAAAAAAAATACTCAATTCCTCATCTTATAAAGAAAAGTGAAAAAAAAAAAAGGCAAAATTCCTTAGACATTACCTGTAGTGCTGTTTGTTCAGTTGTTTCAATATGAGCTGACACTGTTTCCTTTATACACTCAATAAACTGAAAAAAAAATATATAATTTGTTAACAAAAAATTCATATTTTTCAGCACATGAAAAATATTCAGAACAATATTGTCTTTTGATAATGTCTCACATTCAAACTTTTGATTTCCTATTTATAAAAGGAAATGTTTAGATTTGATATCTATTAAAGTTTTAGGCTTATAATGACATCAAATTTATAATCTTCAGTGTTGACTCATTTCAAATTATAAAAATTATCACTAGAAATAATTTGGGACATATTCATGTTTTTTCTTTACCAAGGCCTAGTCTTGTCTACAATTTTCATTCCTCTAATATACCAGTAACATTCCATTCAAAGCAAAAATTATTAAAACCTTATTTTGAATGAAATATCTTAGTTTTCATGGCAAAATAGTCAAATGTGAGTTTTATAAAGTGTTTTCATTATTGATTCATTAAATTTCCCTGGTTTGCAAACTGAAACTCATTATTATAAAATATGATATCAACATATCCAAATTTTGAGATTAGGATAATGTTTGAAAAGTGATAATCTTATATAAACCCATCAATTCCCAAACCATAAAGAATCAACATGAGTAAGGGTATCTGGCAGTAAAAAGACCTGTTTCAAAAAGTTCAAGGAATCATGTCAAGTGCTAACTTAATCATGTACAGTGAAAATGAAATAAGAACATAAATTTCTGGCATGTTGATACCTTATAGGGTACTTAAAGTCTTGTTTCTTTTATATTTACAAATATAATGTAAACTTTTTCTTTACAGATTTACAAATTCCTGTTACAGAAATCATGAAAGAAAATCAGTTGACCAGTTTACACAGTTGACTTGTATTCAAAAGATAGACTAAGCGAATAAATATTTTGATTACTATTCTATCTGCGACTATCTACCAATGAGCATGCAGTTACTAAGCCATCTGGTTGACTTAACAGCATACCAAGACATTAATCACTTCAATTTGCTTCTTTTTTTTTTCTCTCTCAAGAACTTGTGATTATATGAAACACATAGTATAGTTTTATTCCAAAATATACTCATAAAAACTCACATAGACCATTGTGGTAAGAAATATACACTGAGAATATTTAACAAATTACTTTACTGTAAAAATACAAAACCCGAATCGCAAATAATTCAGCATGCTTTTGGGGAATATTTTGATTGTTAATGATTTTTTCATATACTTTCACTTTATAAATTGTTTATAATTTATAAATCAAATTTTTCATGCTGAATATGATATATAGGCAATTTTAGGATCTTATAAATTAAAAAGAAGGAATCATTCTAAGTAGAATTTCTTTTCATAGGTCTTTGATTGTATGTTCCTCAGAAGTATCTATACTGTTTATGGTTTCAATTTTTACAAGGCTCTATACAAGTATAAAGCAGATTAAATCATCATCATTAAAAATCTACAAAGCCTATGGCAGCCCAATTAGCATGTGACAGAAATTGCTTCTTTAGAAATGGTAGTAGGTATAATAATAATAAAAGAGTTTGAAATCACGAACAGCATTGCCTTTAGCTACCAAAAAATGACAACAAAAATATACAAAATACTGATTTTCAATCAGTTCTAATCAATAGTGTCACTTCAAAAGACTAACATTAATATGCAATCATAGTTATTTACCACATAACCAATATGTTAAGACAATAAGGATCAAAGACAAAAAAAATAGAGATAGGTAGAGAGGAGAGACATGCAGGAGGTTTGGGAAATGAATATCCTTTTGTTCTCTAACAACACCAGTGAGCACCTGTTTATTAAATCAGTCTAAATGTGTGAAGATGGATAAAACCCCAAAGTGGCTTGACAGCAGTCAACTAAGATAAATGAAGAAAACACAGTTTATGGTTTAGAGCCAAGGAAAAACATAAAAACCGGATGATTGGATGGTTATTAGAATTAAATGTGGGAAAAGAACTAAGAAAGTTAAGATATTTTTTAGAAATTAGATGGATTAAGATTTTTTGAAGTAATTTAATCTGAATATTAACTTTGAGATAAATTAATATAACCAGGTATGGTTCAATATCCACCCACTACATTCCCCAAGTCTAGTGAAAATGGTGATTAGTAATAAATAACTTCTTTGAGCAAAATAAATAAAAAAAAAAGTTGTGTATAAAAACACTTGAGATTAAATTGTTTGCATAAAAACCTATCAATCAGATCGGTATTGTTTCTTAAGTATAATTATTTGGGATAAAAGAGCTTTCCAAAAAAATTGATCATTGGGCAGTATAGTTTGTTTTTTTTTTATATAAAGAAATATTCTTACAGGAAGAATAGTTTTCAGGATGTGGGTTATCAGAATTTTATGAAGTGATTAGCTGACAGTGTGCTTTTTAAAACAAAGACCATTAAAATAATGGTTAATCATGTCACTAAATCACTTGAGACAAGTCAGAAGCCTGAGTTTATATATTAAAGACACACACACACACACAGGTATGGAGCATTGAAATACATGGAAATGCAAGAGACAAGAAAAGAGCAGATCATAGCAGCAATAATAAGAATAAAACACTAGATTATCATCCCAATTTTTCAAAAGTGGGAGAACAGACAGACCATTTTTCTGTCATTATCATAATTGTGAGCAAGCAATTCAAAGTTCAGACTACTGTGTACCACTGTCAAGTATTAGAATTGGAGATGGGAAGAGACTAGTTAAAAACATCTACTTAACCAACAGCTAAAATAAAGTACATTTGTTAAACCTTGTAAAGGTATTATAGTCTTCATCATCATTACTTTGATCCATCTCAGGGACCTATCAGTTTTACTTACTGACTCAGGCTTGCAACATTTCAACCTTGAGATTGGGACTTCTTCAAATCTTATTTAACTAGATTGTAAATGGAGTTTCTTGTCCAGAATATCACTGAACCAGTAACTGCAAGAACTGGTTGACACTCCTGTGCATAATACTTACATCTACATCCAAAAAAAAAAAAAAAAAAAAAGCACTAAGAAAATATCAAATGACAAACAGCCACATCAATGCCTGGGTATAGTCTTACATGTGGTACCATGACCAAGGTTTTTTGATCTTGTAGTAACCACAAAAAGAAAAAAAACAAAAACCCCACAATGTATAGTGTTACATTTTGTGAATGAAACAGCAAGTTCATCCCTGGTAGAGTGTTACATTAATATATAAACAAGGCACCTCTCTGCTGCATATCAACATGAATGTTTATCCGTCCTTTGCTTTCAAAATTTGAATAGCAACAATAATTGAATGTGTATTAGTATGGAAAGTGGAATTGACAAACTGAGTTCAAATCCCAGTCTAGTCAGTTACATTCATTTTTTCACACTAGTGCACTTGGGAAAGGCATGAATCATTCTCTTCTCCCCTCTACCTAGAGGTTAAATAGCAGGGTAAGTTGGGATTTGTAGTCGAAGGTGGCAATGAGTTTAAGAGAAGGAAAACTGAATTTTAAACCATAGAGAAGACAATGGGACTCCACTATCTTTTCTGTGAAGTTATGGCATTTCAAAGATAAAGAAATGAAATCTGTGGAGAGTCATGTTCACCTATATCCTGAAAGAACATGACATTAGAAAACTAGTTTGTATTATTATTGAATAATCAAGACCAATTTTCAACTAGATGAACAAAGTAAAGAAAATAGCTTTAAGTGCATTTTTTTTTAGTTGGGATGTGCTTTTAGTAAAGTTTAGTAAAAGTTCAACAGACATTAAATACTAGAATCATATTTCTTAGTGAGACATATGTGTGCTTATTGGTTTCATGATCTCCCATGACTGAATGAAGGTTGAAGATGAAGGAAGCTTTGCAATAATCTACCAGTAAAGTTGTGGCAAATATAAAAATATATATACACACCAACAGCAAAATAATTAGTGGAAAGATTACATTGAACCAAATGCTAGGTCTGCTGCAAGAAAAGTTAGTTAACTGTGATATGCTAGACAATTTTTCTTGCCAGAATCTATCTTACAATTTTATAAATCTATCATTCATCCATGCATTGAATGTTGCTGCCGCATTTGGTCTGGTGCTTCTGCTATATATTTAGAGATTCTTGATAAAATCCAAAGAAGAATCTACAATGTTATTGATCCTGACCTGGCATCTTGGCTTCAGTCATGTTTCCACTGCTGTAATATAGCTTCTCTGTGTCTTTTTTTATAAATATTTTCATGGTAATTGTTCTGATCAGCTCTTCTCTTTGGCAGCTAGAATTTATGAATTTCAGCACTATACTAGATTGTTGGTAAGGTCTCATCATTCTAGCGTTGAAATAGGTAGATATAACCATAAGTTCTATGCTAATAGATTTATTGCTTCTGGAACTCTCTTTGATTATATAACTTTTGATGGTAGAAACCTGTGAAACCTGAATATATATATATATATATATATATATATATATATATATATATATATATATATGTACAAATACAGTGATAATGAATCAAATATAAATTCAAATGTTCATAACATTAATTTTCAAAAGGAGCTCAATACAAAAGTAGAGCTATAATTCTTTATTATTGGTTATTACATTCGAATATACATATTTCCACTACAAAAATGCATTAATGTTTCGATGCAACATAGCATCTGATAAAGTGGTGGTAAAATGCTATGTTGCATCAAAACATTAATGCATTTTTTGTAGTGGAAATATGTTTGAATGTAATAACATATAAAGAAGTATGTTTATATATATATATATATATATATATATATAATTATAAATTAACTGATTTAAAATATGGTTCCTTCGCTACACTGGAATTACCATGTTTCAAAAGCCAAGGCTAAAAACTTCAAATTTAATTATATGATTAAATTAAAAGCATTAGTTCTGTTTCATCTTCAAGTGAATTTTGGAATAAATTATTTTAAAATTTACTGAGTTTTAAACGTATATACAATTCATAATTTTTTGTTTCCAAGGATACAGAGAAATCCAATCATTTAGACAGGGGCGGTAGTGTGTTCATTTTCATAATATTTAT